TGGTTCTGTGTGGTATTGACAGGGACAAGAAATCATTGTTGATTCAAGCTAAGCTGGTAACCATTTTTGCATGTAATATTCACTATTGATATTAAACATAATTCATGAGTAAATGATGAACATCAAGCAGTCATGATTTGTCAAATCAAGCAGCGATGTCTTAAGAACAAAGCCCTGCCAATAGGGCCAAGGTGGGGGCCACCCAATATATATGCATTAGCGTAGTGATCAAATTATTTGGGATACTTTCTCTTGTAGAGTAAAAGGTATGATAGGAAAAAGTTCACAGACAAGTCATAGGATGAGTAAAAAATTATTGCAGTGCGGGACTTCCATGTGTATGTTGAGCACATGAATCTATGTTTTCTTAAAGGGGCTGTTTTGTTTTCTGCAAAAAACAAAATGTTGTGTGTAACATTTTTGTAGGGAATCAGCTTCAGATCCATTGTTTGGATATTTGCAATTTTATTGCCGAAAATGTATTTTCAATGCAAATTCAGTGTTTGGTTGAAAAATAATTGATGCAAAATCAGCATGAGTTGGATATGTTCTGTAGATTGGATTGGAGAGTTATATTTGTTAGGTGACATTACCTTTTATTTTCTAATTTGCTTTCTGGGTGTTGCTTCTAGCATCTTGGTTGTATCATTTTTTTTTCTTTTTTTTGTGTAAAATGTTATTAACCAAATATGAGAAATATGAACATGTCTGCAATATTTACTTCGGCAGCTCTATTTTCTAGGAGGTAAATGGAAGAATAAAGGAACATACAAATAAAGCATGGTTCATTATGCTCACTATCTTCTATGTCATCAATAGTCTATTATATCGTAGGAATCCACGTACTTTAATACCAAATTTCAACATATTGAATCTGTTGTTGCTGCATGATTATTCTGAGGCTGTATTATAAACCATCTACACGTACTTTAATACCAAATTTCAACATATTGAATCTGTTGTTGCTGCATGATTATTCCGAGGCTGTATTATAAACCATCTACAGGCCTAAATTGTGCTGAGCTATTTTTTGGTAAAAGACAGTGCCTTGAAGGCATGTAAGATTGACTACCTTCCTTTGTAAAATAACAATCCAAAATTACCTTTGTTAGAAGGTTTTCATGTTGTATCAACTAATAGTTAATCTTAGCGATTATTTGATCTTACTTTATGGTCTTCTTGATGTGATTCAAGAAAACCATTTAGGAAGGGCATCATAACGTCTTCTTAAGTCATATAAACTATCAAGTTTAATTTTTGGATATCCTCTTATTAGTCTAGCGTGTACTTTTCCAGTTATTCATGTGAAAACTAATAATAAATCTACGTAAGATGTAGGAGCTGTAGTTGGAGAAAATGACAAGAATGTTGTTATTGTTACCGGAATGAAATTTCAACTGTTGCCCTTCCTCCTTCCCGCTTGTTCCTCGTTCCCTTCACATCATCAACAATAAAGGAAAACACTACGCTCCTGTTATAGAATGTGTACTACTGCTAATCAGGTTCTAAACCTCATCCTCTCTAGTAATCCCTATTTATTATTAGAAGGGCTAATAAATATGGAGAAGTATCATATATGGCATTCTACACTCCCTTGCTTATTGCTATTTGCAAGATGCACTGCCTCAAAGATCACTGTACCTGTCAAATCTTACGGTTCTTTATCTTGGATGGACACTCAAATTTCAAGCATAAACATGATAATGGGGTTATTTATTATCACTATTCCTTTTATGACTGGAAGACCAGCAAAACTGGCAAGCATTCTAGATGCTACTGGCTCTGGATAGTGGGCTGATGTTTATTGAATTGTCCTCAGATAGCATCCAGCTTATGCTCCGTTGTCTGGTCAAATTAAATGGTTAAATATGTTCCTAACTTTGAAATTGTAATATGCACATCTCTTCTCTGTGATGCAAATATGCACTCTACCTTCTCTCACTCTGTGTTTGATGAGACCAGCCTATCCATATTAGGTTTTCACTGCATTAGAGCTAAGCAGTTGGATTCTTTGCATTATTTAAAAGATTATCCTGTAGAATGTTTTCTTTGTATTTTCCTTGTCTTTTGTTTCTTGTTTATGCTTTATATATGTTTAAAATATCTTGGTAATTGTTCCTCTGATTAACCTTACCATTTCTGTTTTTAATACTCTCCTTCCAGCTTATTTGCTTATCGGATTTGGAGTACGATTATATCAACCCATATGATTCATCGGCTCGTATAAATGCGGTGGTCATTCCAGAGTTTGTGGTTCAAGGAGCTTTATGCACATTGTTGTTCCTCACATGGCATTGGTTTCCATTTCTATTAATGGCACCTGTCACCTACTACCATATAAGATTGTATGTATCACATCTTCCTCATGCAGTTGTATTCAATATACCATCTGAAGAATGTCCTCACTTTTTCTATTTTACTTGGTCTATTATTTATAATGTCCACTAGGCACTATCTCGTAAGATCCTTTTTTTAAAAAGAAAAAAAATTCTGCTAACTGTTCGACAAGGTTGGAAAACATGCCCTGATTTGTTGACTATTGCTAAGATAATGCTAATTTGCTGAGGAATTATGATTTCATATCTTTTGATGTGGCAATTTAGGTTATTGGTAAAGTTTTATGTAGCTTCTTACATGTAGACATGGAGTTCAAAAGATTTCTGCAGAATAATAAACTTAGTTTGAACCTTTATATAGGTTTTGATTTTTACATTGAAAAAGCGTGTTTAGTTAATCACTATCACTACAAATGAAAATGGAGGTTCAATGGAGGAGAAGAAGATGAAATATGGCACCTGCCCAGATTTTTTTGGGATGCCTTCCGTTAAGTGGTAAATCTACATAGAGAGCAACCTAATAAAAGGGATTCACTTCCTCTATCGAAGAGTGTTTAAACTTATAAGCAGAGGTATGAACATAAACGTGGAACACAAACACGTGATATGGATACACTGACATGATAAATTGTCGAGAAGTAGGGATCAACATGTTCTTAACCCAACACATAAATATATAATATAGGTTTTCTCTTTTGTTTTTGAATATCGTGAATAATAGACCCTATCTTGACTAATTTGACACTAAATACTTAGTCTTACCCTTAACATCACGACCATTGCAACCCTTTTTGAGCCGTAACATTTGGATATTGAGAAATGTTGGTTGGACGATGTTGCTGGAAAAAAAAACGTGTGAGATTTAGACTTGGTAGGATAGAAGCAGTAGTGGTTTCTCTCGAGAGCATAACTAACACATCAAGTGGGGAACTTTAGCAGTTGTCACTATTTAATGGTTAAGCCCCCTTGTGCTGGTCAGAGATCCAAGGTTCACATCTTGCTTGTACCATGACAGAATCCATCTAAAACAAGCCTGAGAAGAGCTAGTTACTGAAATTAAACTTGAAAGGACTAATAATTCATATATAACTATATATATATAGAATACCTATTAATAGAAATATGTATGCTTGTACCATAGCACAAAAATTTGTATATGAATAGTATGCTGGACCAAGCACAAAAATTTGCTGCTTCGTACCAAGCATACTTCATATTTCTCATATATAGTATATAATATATATATATTATATATATATATATATATATATATATAATATATATATATATATATATATATATATAGTAGATATACTATATATATATAAATAATAGACTCTATCAAACTTAAGTTGATATCACCAAACTTCCTTCCACTCATTATTAATATAAATTCCTTTCAATCATCAAGATCCTACGCAATATATGGCCTAAAAATGTTTGGGACAAATTTCCTATCCACTTAAGTACACAAGTTTAGCTCTCTCTCTCTCTCTCTATATATATATATATAATAGAAGAGAGAGTAATGGGTATCTTTCATAGGAGGATTCTTCCTGACGCCTCTAAAATCACATATGAGCGACATGGTGGATGATCGCCTCCGTAACTTATCTACATTTCTAAAAACCCCAACACACCAAGTTGGGTGAACCCTTGCTCGTTTGACCTTCATCATCTCATATCAAATTTTAACGTATGAATGAATAAATTTTTCCACATGGCTCGCACAAGAGGGTCAAACACGACGGTGGTTCACCCCAAACTGCGTGTGGGTTTTAGAATATGTAGATCAAGTCAACGGATCGGATCATCCACAACGCTCGTCAATCATGCTGATTTAGAGGCGTCAAGGAGGAAATCCCCTCCTATGACAAAGAACCATTAATCTCATACTATTATATATATATATATATATAATATATATATATATATATATATATATATATTAGAAATTCTTATGTTCCAAACTTAAGTGATGATCCATCAAATATGAAGCAGACTATATATATATATATATAATTATATATATATATATTTATATATTATATATATAGTTAGGGAGAGTTCAAATAAAACCCACTATCCTAAAACCTAAAACCATCCTCCAATGGATCTGATTCATCCAGCTAGATCTTTAAACTGCATAAGTCAATTAAGGTACCAAATAAACAGCCCCCACTAAAGAATGAATAATGTTCTCAATTTGATCTCCATTCCCCATGCAAACTCTCTCTCCAAAATCACAGCAACTCTCTCTGTCTTCAACATCTCTCTTCTTCAACCTCTCTCTCTCTCTCTCCAAAATCACAGCAACTCTCTCTTCTTCAACCTTCGTCTTCATGGTTTATGAAATTATTTTGACGCTTCGTCTTCACGGTCTTCTTCAACCTTCGTCTTCATGATTCAGTGGGCTGTTAAATTATTTTGACGCTTTAATGGTAAGTTTATAAAATTTGTTTGATTTTTCGTCTAAAAGTTTTAGTTTTAACCTTAAAGATCGTAGCTTTTTGTTGTAAAAGGTGAAATATTTCACCTTTTAGTCTGAAAAGTTTTTTGTTTTTTGAAGAAACCAGTTGAAAAACGAAGACACGCATGAGTGAATCTAGATTCACTGCAGTGAATCCAGATTCAGTTATGTGAGGTGTTTGTTTTTTACCATAAAAATCGTAATTTTTTGCATAAGTGAATCTAGATTCACTGCAGTGAATCTCGATTCACAGAGTGAATCCAGATTCAGTTATGTGAGGTGTTTGTTTTTTACCATAAAAATCGTAATTTTTTACTGTAAAAGATGAAATCTTTTCATGGTTTAAAATTTTATAGCTTGTTTTTTACCATAAGTTTCTTATTCTTTTTGTTTAAAATTTTATAGCTTGTTTTTTTACCATAAGTTTCTTATTCTTCAATATAATTCAGATTCAATGGAGTGAATCCAGATTCACTGGAGTGAATCCAGATTCACTGGAGTGAATCCAGATTCACTCCAGCGAAAGCTTAGATGGTTATGATGGTTTTTAATGAATTATTGAAGAAATAAATGCATGTGCTGTAATTTCGAAGAAATAAACGCATGAGTGAATCTAGATTCACTACAGTGAATCCAGATTCAGTTATGTGAGGTGTTTGTTTTTTACCATAAAAATCGTAACTTTTTGCTGTAAAATGTGAAATCTTATCATGGTTTAAAATTTTATAGCTTGTTTTTTACCATAAGTTTCTTATTCTTCAATATAATCCAGATTCAATGGAGTGAATCCAGATTCACTGGAGTGAATCCAGATTCACTCCAGCGAAAGCTTGGATGGTTAGGATGGTTTTTAATGAATTGTTGAAGAAATAAATGCATGTGCTGTAAGAATTCAGATTCACTCCAGCGAAAGCTTGGATGATTAGGATGATTTTTAATGAATTGTTGTTGTGTTCTTCATGCGAAGATGGAAGATCAAAGCTTGATAGAAGATGGAAGTGAGTTACAGAGAGCATGAAGTGAGTTAGAGAGAGAAATTGGGAAGTGGAGAACTCAACAGAGAAGCATTAATGTTGCCAACCACCATTAATGTAGTGAATTGTTCCACGTGTTGTATTTTTGGTTTTCAATGTTGCCAGCCACCATTAATGTAGTGAATTGTTCCAATTTTACCTTTTTAACATTAATGATGTGTATTAAATTTGTCTATATTTATAATTCTGCCATCGAAATGTAGGCCATTGGATTAGATAGATTGGAGAGTTATGATTGGTTTTTTGTTAGAAAGTTTGGTGGACAAAGGCCTATTGTCCACTTAAGTTGACATAAGTTCACCTCTCTCTCTCTCTCTCGATATATATATATTATAATATATATATATTATATATATATATATATATAAGTATATGATAGACTTATATATATAGTAATAAATATATCATAATATATATATATATATTAAGAGAAGAGAAGAGAGAGAGAGAGAGAGAGAGAGAGAGAGAAACTTAAGTGCGACCATCACCAAACTTTCCCATTTATTGATGAATAACTAGGATCCAATGCAAATATGAAGAACTTATATATATATATATATATATAATATATTATTATAATACTATAGTATATATTATATATATATTGTATATATAATATACTATATTGAGATGAATAGAAAAGTTTGGGTGGCACAAAGGGCCTCTGTCCAGCTTACAAGTTACATAAGTTCACCTCTTCTCCTCTCTCTCTCTCTCTTTCATATATATATATATATATATACGATATAATATATATATATATATATATATATATATATATACTAAATATTATTAAGATTGAATAGGAAGTTTGTGGGACAAAAGCTCTGTCCACTTAAGTTGACATAAGTTTCCACCTCTTCTCTCTTCTCTCTCTTACTATATATACTATAATATAATATATATATATTATATAATATATATATATATTATTCATATATAATGAGTAATAGGGAAGTTTTGGGTGATCAAAGCACTCTTGTCCACTTAAATGACATAAAGCTTCACCTCCCTCTCTTCTTTATTATATATATATAATATATATTATTATAATATATATATATATATAATATTATAATATATACTATATATATAATCAAACTAGATGTGTTGTTTTTTTTAATAAACTAAAATACGATGGGTTTGGACGCTGTCATAGGAAAAAAAAGTATTACCTCCATAGTCTTTACTTGATTCATACACATTATGTTGTATAGCATGTTAATATTCATGGTGGCACTTTCTTGCGATGCAGTAGACACGATCTTCCTTCGTGAAAGGAAGAACATGTGTGAAAAAACTATGAACTTGGAAGGGGATTAAGACATGACCAGATAGTGGGAACCAAACCTGCATCTTCTCATTGGCAAGGAGAAATTCTACC